GGGGGGGGGGGGGGGGGGGCTGTCGCTAGCCTACCAGGTCCTTGGTTCTTGTAGATGTTGCAGGTCATGAGATTGTGCATGATTGCGATGCTCTGCAGCGTCTTACCCAAACCTGCAAACACGCCACAAGAGACAGCACACACAGCATCCTTGCCCCTGTGTGTCGGTGGCCTCGCCCGCCCATCGGATCACTGCCCCACCTTACTTACCCATGTCATCTGCAAGTATGCACCCCTCGCCCCCCGCCGTATCCTTGAGACCCATCAGACACTCAAACATGAACTTCACACCCTGACGCTGGTGCTCACGCAACACCCTGCACACAACACAACACAATCCACACACACACACACACCCCTGAACCATTATCCCCCTCCCCCTCCCTCTCCCTCCCACCGACCGACCCCACCTGGAGAGCTCGTGGTCGATTTCCACCATCTGCTCGTCGTCGCAGTCCTCGGGCGGCTCGTAGAGGATGAGACGGTTGACGGGCCCCTTGCCAGAGGCGTCGAGTACCGCGGCTGGCTTGGGCGGTGGTGCTGCGATGGGCGGTACGAGGAGGAGGCTGGCGTAGCCGTGGGGACGCTGGCGCATCCCCAGGGTCTTCTTCTTGGCCTCCTCGCTCTGACCCGGCACATGACCTGACATCCATCCATCCAGCCGGCGCACCAGACAACACATAGATGACACAAATCCAGCAATAGTTACAGACGGACGATTTGCAGCTTTGCAATGGTGCAATGCGCCACGAGGCCTTGCTGTCTGTCTTGCATCTCCCTCGACTCACCTGGCAGTGGTGAGATGAACTGTTGGTAGAGGATGCCCTTGCCCGGCTCCACCTGCAGCATCGGCATGATGCCGGTGCGGAACAGCACCATACCGTTGCTGTGGCGGAGGCCGCCCAGCGGCGCTGCCGCTGCCGCGCCCGCACCTCGGTCGGTGCCGCTGCCCTCGTCCATGGCCTCATCCCCATCCTCCGCCGCATCCTGCTCCTCACGCAGACGCTTGGGCCTCGCCAAACCCAACCGAATGCCGTTCTTCAGACCAGACAGCTTCAACATGGCGGCCTATGGTTCTCAACGCCCCACACCAAATTAGGCAAAACCCGAGAAAAGGGAACTTCGAGATTTACAGTGTGCGAGCTTATCTGCGAGCTTTTTGCTTCAGCGTTGAGATCTTGCTGTTTTTGCCTGATCTGAGTCGCGGCGAGGGCACTGTGGAGCAGATTCTTTGCTCCCCCCGTCTCCCTGCCCTCAGTCGATCATCGGTCTGCCAATGAAGCTCATTCCCCTCCTCTGCGCCGCCCTCCTCTCCTCGGCGGCCCTGCACTCTGTCCACTGCGCACCGAAGCCACCACCCAGGTCCGTGTCGGTGAGGCGGTCGTCCCCCGGCTCCCCCGGCTCGCCCGGCGGCGGCATCCCATTCATCAGCCGCTTCAGGAGCAATGACAAAGGGAACGATGACTCGATGGACTCACTCGGCAATGAGCTGCCGCTGGACGTTGAGTGCGAGGACGACTCGGACGACTGTGACGACCTGTGCGCGACCGACAGAGGGCAGACCGCCAAGGCCGCCCTCCAGACCTTGCGAGCGGCGACCAATCTCGGCTTGATGGGAGCCGCGTACGCTGGTCTGGTCAAGGCGGCCGACCAGCTGGACATGCGAGAGCCGCTGCTGTACCTGGTGCTGCTGAGCCACCTGAGCTGTCTAGGCGCCTTCCAGAGCTTCCTCTATGCGGTGAGCTACGGCTACGGCCTGTCCCTGCTGTCGGCGGGGGCGTACGCGGCCGCCAACCAGCTGCTGGGCGACGCCAAGGCGGAGCTCTCCAAGTCGGGGGCGCTGCACTCGGCCATCTACGCCGCGTACGGGCTGCGGATGATATCCTTCATCTGGGCGCGCAACACGAGCACGTCCTACAGGAGGAAGCTGAGAGAGATCTACCATGCCGACAAGAAGATCTCACTCTGGGGCAAATTCATGTGCTGGTAGGGACACCACAGCACACCAGAGAGGGGGGGAGGGAGGGGGGGAGGGGGAGGGGGGCAAACAGCTGTGTGATTTGCTGTGGCCTGTTGGTCTGCAGGACGTTTGTGTCGCTGCTGATGACGGCGTACGGGCTGCCCGTGTACTTCAACAACATGATGGGGCCTCGCGAGCTCGCCCCTGTCGAGAAGGCCGGCCACATCCTCGCCGCCAGTGGGCTGCTTGTGGAGGCCGTGGCGGACGTGCAGAAGGCCAAAGCAAAGGCCACCCATGCCAACGCGCCAATCACTTCAGGACTCTTCAGGTACACACACACACTTCTCCTTGTTGATCCGCTTATCTGTGTGTGAATGGTGTGGTGTGGTGTCAACAAGGGTGGTTCGGCACCCGAACTACCTGGGCGAGATCATGTTTCACGCGGGCGTGTTCCTTGGGGGGTGGGAGGCGTATGACACGCCTCTCAAGAGGAGCCTGGCGCTGGTGGGGCCAGCTCTCATGAGTGCCGTCATGGTGGAGCAGACAGCTTTGCTGTCCAAGAAGCAGCTGCAGAAATACGGGAGGACGCCCAGATACAGAAGATACCTCATGGTATGGATGGCCACATTGCAGACACACAGACAAGGAGAGGGGTGTAGAGGGAGGGGGATGCACCACGTGTGTGTCATTGTGTGTGTTGTTCGTGTGTGTGTGTGTGTGTCTGTGTGGGCAGAACACCCCTGCGCTGCTGCCCCTGCCACTGGTCGCGACCATCTTCAGACTCCTACGTAGGTGGTTTCCCTCCCCACAGATGACCCCCCCCATCCCCACCTTCTCTCTGTCTCCCTCTCTGTTCTGCTTCTTGCAGGCATCAACGAGACGGCCCTATGGTGGGCCGCATGGCTGGTGGGGGGCGGTGCCGTCCTCTACGACGCCTACAAGGAGGGCGGGGGGCCGCCCAAGTCCCCCAGCGTCAAGGTCGTCAAGAACAGCCCATCAGCGGCCACCATGGGAGGCCGCACACGACGCACCGGCGGCAACACATCGTCCGTCAAGAAGGTGCCGCGGACAAGATAGACAGACAGACCGATAGACGACGGGCGGGGCAGGGTTGTTTTCGTTCTTTCTTTTCATATTTCCGGCATTGCTGCTGCTGCTGCTGCTGCCGCTCTTCCTGCCGGCTTGTTGGCTGGCTGACCGGATGGATGGATGGATGTCACATGAGGATGGAGGGGAGAGAGAGGAAGGGTGGGGGGTAAGAGCAACGCCTGTACAGCACGTAGAGAGAACTGTGTGTAGGGCAGGGGAGGGGACTGACTCCTCTGCACACACAAGACTAACCAACGTATCCATAAGCTAGCTAGTGGGGCTGAAGGGGGGGGGGGATGCCATCAATGGTCCTTTCCTCACCAGGGAGGGGGGTGCGTGGTGCGTGCGTGTGTGTGTGTGTCATCCGTTCCTTCCTTCGTGAGCGGCCTGTCTGTGCAGAAACCAAGATCTATCTATCTCATGATCATTTTTCTTTCTTCTCTTGCATCGTGTACGCGAGTACGGGGAAGATGGTCCGTCAATTCATGTGCTGGTTGGCTAGTTGGTGGCGTGATTTGTGTACAGGCAGGCAGGCCCGGACCCACCTAGTGACGACATACAGATGGATGGATGGATGGATGGACGGCAGATTGGTTCCTTCATTCCTCTGACATACCGACGCCGTACATGCTGCTTGTAATGGCTGTGTTCGTTCGTTCATCATCCCGTTCATCGCTCCATCCTTCATATCATTCAGCGTGTGCGACAGACAGACCTCTTCCTTGCTATCATTCAGTGACGGTCCTAGCCCTATATACAATCGGTATATATAGCGACAACATGTCAGTCCCCTATGAAGGCCCCTACACCCGCCACGCCACGCCGCGCCACCCAGTCAATCGGTCAGTCAGTATCAAATATCAAAACCCATGCAGGCTATGTCTCTCCCTCTCTCTCTTCCCCCCCCTCCCCTCCCTCTGCCATGTGATGTGATGGAATGGAATGGTGTCTGTCTGTCAATGGGGTGATGCGATGGGTCCACTGACTGACTGACGTCTGACAGAGCCAACCAACCAACAAGACAACACAACATGTTGAGCACTGACCTTACCCCCACCTGCTCACTCATTTACTTACTGTATCAGCTGTTGTATTGGTCTTGTGTGAGTATGTGTGTGTTCACAGGAACCACAGCGACTTGGACAGGGCCTCCGAGGGGGCCTTGTTGTCCAGAATCTCCGACACCTTGCGAGCACACCTGACACACACACACACACAATGAGCCATCCATCCCTCTCTCTCTCTCTCCGCCTACACTTCAGCATATTTGACGACGGATGGGACACGGATGGGCCCTCCCCAGTTCTGGTACAACATGGAGAGCTGCATCGTCATGGTGTAGAGGCTGTCGGTCGAGAAACCTGCCGGAAGGAAGCAAACCAAAGCAAAGCAGCCCAGCCACACATTCACGTCACGCACTTGGCTGGTTCGTGTAGCACGTGGGGTGCTGTGCGTGTCCGGGCCGGGCTGGGCTTACTCCAGTTGTCGCTGAGTGCCATGACCTCATACTTGGTCGGCGTCACAGTGCCTGCACATTGGTAAGCAACACAACACAACACAACAAAGCCACGGACGGTCTGCCGGTCGGCACGCCCCTCTCTCTCTCTCTCTCTCTGTCTGTCCGTGTGTGTTTGTGTGGTGAGGTGCCCTGCGTGACGGCCTGGTGGCAGCAGAAGAATACGAAGCGGTCGTCCTCAGTCACACCTGACAACACACACACACACATGACATGACATGCAACAAGTGTCTGTCGCTGACCTTGGTCGAACAGAGTGAGCGGCGGCGGGTTGCCGAGGCCGCCGCCCCCGTCCCGGCCGCCCCCACGCCCGCCAGGGCCGCCACCACGGCCGCCACGACCGGGGGGCCCGCCGCCGCCACGACCTCCTCCTCCACCAGATATGGCAAAACTGACACACACACGACACGGATACACACAGACGAGTAGGTGCGTTCAAGGCCGGGGCTTGGGTTTGGTCTGTTGTGGATTGGATTGTGCCGACATACCGCTGGTTGATGTTTTTTTTGACTGTGATGTAGGCGACTTCGGGGCTGAGGTCAGCACTGACCTGCTTGAGCCCTCGTAGATGCTCGGCACCTCGGCCTCGAGCGCCGCGGCCTTCTGGCCGTCACCCAGACCACAACTGATCGGTGCACACACACAGATACACACACACACACACACAGAGAGAGAGAGAGAGAGGGCGTCCAATCAGCCACACGGAGCGAGAGAGAGAGAGAGATGTACCGGTAGATGATGATACGCGTCGGGGGTCGTCCGAGGTTCTGCGCGAAGGCGAATGCAGCGTCTGCACCAGGGTCAGGCAGGCAGGCCCCCCCCCGACACACCCACACACACACCATGCCATGCAGCCACACACGGCCTTTGTAGGTGTGGTAGGTACCTTTGATAAATGTGCCGATTCCAGTGATGATCTCGGTCTCGATGCCGTCCTTGATGTTGGTGCGCGTGTAGTGCTCGAGAAACAGCCGGTCCTGCGTCGCCGCGCACACGAACACCGTCTTGCCTGACACACACACACACACACACACATGACCATGGCCATGTGTGTGTGTGTGTGTGTGCGGTAGCTATACCCTTGGCCTTCTTGGCATCGACACCGACAACCATCACAGGCTACACGCACACACACAAAGGCAGGCCCCCACCCCAGCAATGGCTCGACAGGTGAATGGTGTGTGTCAGCCGCCCGCCCGACCTTGTCATGCAGACGCTTGACATTCAGAGCCCACGCAGCGCCACCCATCTGCACACACACACACATGGATGGATGGATGGATGGATGGCGCAAGGGCAAGGGCGTGTGTGTGCCTTGTGTGTGTGGCCGCCCACCTTGACGTTCATCTGTGCGATGAGTTTGACTACGGCCGAGCCCCACTTGCGCTCATCGTTGATCGTCTTGGACTGCACAAACTGCACACACACCACAGCCACCACAGCATTCAAAGCAACAACAAATATGTGTGTGTCATGTGTGTGCCTGTCTGTCTCTGTGTGTGCCCGAGAAGTGTGTGTATGTGTGTGTGTGTGTGTGTGTGGCGAGGTATCCCAACCTGAGAAGCTACGGGGGTGAGGTCGTTGCTGTGGACGGAGAGCCGCTCCTTCATCTTGCTGTACACCCTGGACGCCACGTCAGGCTTGCTGCGTCACACACACGCACTCCCTCACTCTCTCTCTCTCTCTCTGTGTGTGTGTCTCCCCCCCCTCTCTCTACGTCTGTCTGTGTGAGGGAGTGGTGGGTGGTTGTTTGTTTACCCTGGTAGGATGACACAGACGATGACACTGTTGCCGTTCTCTTTCGCACCACGCTGCTGCTGCTCGATCATGCCGTTGAGGTACTTCCAGAAGCCGCCCTCCTCCAGAGCGCCACGCCAGCCGCCCTTGTCCTTGGGGATACCTGATGCCATGCACACATAAGATAGATAGGTGGCGTCCGTCGTCGTCTCTCTGTGTCTGGTCGTTCGTTGCGTGTGCGTGTCGTGGTGCGGTGTGGGTGGGGTGGGTGTAGGTACCGAGATATGCAGGCTCAGCGATGGGCATGCCGAACTCTGGGCAAGGCAGGGAAGGGCACAGACACACGACGTACACACATCATGATGTCGATCCATCCATTTGGGCGGTGTGTTTGTGTGTGTGTGTGTGTGTGTGTACTTTGGCAGGTGCTTCGGAGGCTGTCGAGGAGTTTGTAGGAGTCCTGCCCGCTCGTCGCCTCGTCATACACCATGATCCAGTTCGTCAGCCCAACCTACACACACACATAAACACCAAGTGGGTGTGTGTATGTGTGTTTTCCCTCCCAGGTGCACCGGACCGGTTTGACGAGCGAGTCGACGTTGAAGTTGGCGTTGTCTGGCTTGAGTGTCTTGCCGCGCAGGTTGGGGTCGCTCTTGGTCGGCCTCTCCTTCCCCAGGGGCTCGAACTCATTGGGACGGGTGTAGAAGTTGAAGTTCGTCGCACCGTCCCCAATGGCCAACTGACGGCCTAAACACACACACACACACACACAGAGAGAGAGAGAGAGAAACGAGAGAGGGAGGGTGGGAGGGGGACAAACAGTGTGGCTGTGCTCTGTGTGTGGGTCGTCGGCTTACCGCTGACTACTTTGCGGTCGTTGCTGATACTGATGCCGTACTTGGCCAACACCTCTGCACACACACACACACCGACAGAGCCACACACACCGACAGAGCCACACACACACCACACAGCATAGCACAGCACAGATGAATGGATGGAGGCACCGCAGCATCCCCCACCCTCCCAGCCACCCACCTTTTGCGTCTCTGTTGTTCTGCAGTATGTGTGCCAGTTGCTGGCTCTTGTCGAGGCGCTCGCCGGGCAGCATGCGGCAGTGGCGGCCCACCTCGTTGTTCAGGCGGAAGTCGCTGCGGATCGACTCGTCCAAACCTGCACACAACACAAGGTGTGCAGGGGTGCATTGAAGGGGTGAGTGAGTGATGTGATGTCATGTGGTGATGCGGTATCATGCTGGTTGGTGCCGGTGGCGGGCTCCACTCTACCTGTGAGCGTGACGGCCTGTGAGGGGAGATGGAAGGTGCGGATGACCTGCCACTCGCCGTCGATTTTCTTCTTCTTGCTCGACACCACTGCACACACACATCCACACACTCTCTCCCTCCCTCCCTCCATCCCTCCCTCCCTGTGTCTGCACGTGTGTGTGGTGCGATGTGTTGGTGGCTGGCTGGTCGCCCGCCTGCCTGCCCACCCATTGGCTGGCCCGGTGTGAGTTGGATGCCGTAGGTCTGCGAGAAGTAGTCGCCTATCGTCCAGGTCTTGCCGCTGCGGTCGGTGAAGGTGCTCTTGGGCGACATGTCGTAGTCAATCTATAGCACATAGGTACCATGCACACCCACACGCAGCCACCATACCATACACTCCTCTGGATGAATGGATGGGTGGGTGTTGGGGTAAGTAAGCAACCTTGTCGATGGCGTACAGCTTGCGCTCGCGGTTGTTAGCGGGACCGCTCGACTGCACAAACAGACAGACCAACACACACAATCGCACGGGGTGCGGCGTGGCGTGTGTGTGGTGTGTACGTCCCCCCTACGTAGAGGGTGATGATGCGACGGCCGACAAACTCTTTGTTGATGTAGTCGCTGAGCCCCGATTTGGGGCCCTGCCAGCTGGACTGCACAGCAGGAAAAACAGGGAGGGCGAGAGGGAGAGAGGGAGGGAGGGAGGGAGGGAGCCAAATCGACAGTGGCTGTGGTTGTGGTTGCCAGTACGTGTGTGGGCATGTGGGGTGCGTGGGGTCACCGCTTTCTTCTTCAACGTTTCGAAGAGGTTCTCACTATGTAGAATGCGATGCGTGCAGTCAATCTGCACACACACACACACACACACACGCACAGAGAGAGAGAGAGAGAGAGAGTTAGCATGACACCAGCCCAGCCCCACCCGACCCACCCCACCGCCCCAAGGGTACGTGCCTGGAAGTAGAGTTGGCCGCCGAGCTGGAGCATGCTTGTGAAGTAGCCCGGCAGCAACTGCACACACCAACACACACACACGTTCGTTGGTCAAGTTGGCTGGTGGACTGTGGTGTGATGCCGAATTGGATGTATGTGTGTGGACCTGGAAGCGGTTGACGTTGATGACGGCGCCGCGGTGCTCAGAGTTCTGCTCCAACATCTCCGTGAGGAACGAGTGGCGCCCGATGGACTGGAGCTGCACACCACCACACACACATGAGGATGACATTGGGTGCGTGAGGGTGGGCTGGGCTGGTTTGGGTGTGGCTACCTACGTGAAGGTGTCCCATGGCCTTTTTGATGGCGCAGCTGATGTACTGAACGTCCTCCTGGTCCAACTCGCCGCGCATCACCTTGTCCTGAGCTGCACACACCACACCACACCACACCACATCACAACACACCACAACACAGCACAGAACAGAAGAGGTAGTGGGTCCATGTCCGTGTTGCCCGCGTCATGTGTGTGGGTGTGGGGGTGTGTGGGTGTGCCGCCGCTCACTGAGGTCGAGGCGGTGTTTGCGCAGGAACACGATCTTCTGCCCCTGGGCGTCACCCTGCACCCACACACACCACAACACAATACAGCACACACAACACACAGTCCCACCAATCTGTGTGGCATGGTGCGGTGCAGTGCAGCGCAGCGCGGTACCGTGAGGCTGTCCACGGTCACACTGGCCGATGGTTTCGACGGATTCACTACGAACGTGTTCATGCCCTGCATACAACACATCACCCCACACCACACCACACCACATCACACCACACCACACACAAGGGGCTCGTGCGGTGCGCATGCACGTGTGGTGGTGTTCACCTGGTAGAGTACCGCACTGCCCGCAGCGCCACCCAACGCCTCCAGTATCTGCCACCACGTGCGCACACCGCCAGCGACACAACCGATGCAAATCCGCCCCATCCCCCATCCGCCAGCCATCCTGCCTTCGCATGCGCCCTCTCCCCGCCTCCCCGCACCTCCCTCACACCCTGACCTGGCTCCCACCCTCTCTCTCTCCCGCCCTGCGCGCGCCTAACTCCCGGTGTGTGGGCATCTGGCCTCACCTGCTGCTCGTTGTGATAGATGAGCTTGCGCTGGCCGCCCACATTCTCGACGTCGGGGTCGAACTGCGTGGAATAGACCTGGACGGTGAGGCCTGGGGCAAGCCCGCACGGGAGAAGGTTCGTCTGGGCGGAAACCTCTGCGCCGAGGCTGGCGAAGGCGCCGTTCGGGCGACGCACCGCAGGCTCTGACCGCTCATCGCTGCCTGCCGCCACAAACGACAAAAACGCCAAAGGACGATCTGCGAGCTGCGGGCTTGGAGCTGCAATGGGGCTTGTAAATAGACCTCCTACCAACCATTCAGAAGCGTCGGTGATGCATCTTGCGTCACATATATGGGACAGACGAACAGGCACTCTGAGTGCCTGCAGAGACTCACTCACTCGTGGTATTTATGTAAGCCGCAGCCAGCAAAGGTACCGGACTCCTATGTACACACCGCCACGCCCATCTATCTAATATCCCCTCTAGACAGACACCGGGCCGCATCACTCACGCCACCATCTGTCTGCCCCACGGCCCCCCCTCTCCCCCGCTCTCGATAGACATCCTGTCGCTGAACCGACCGACACTGCCTCGCATCACGGTGCCCTGGGCATCCGACGAAGGACCCTCCTCTCCCTGCCGCTCTGGCGACGGCTCCCTCTCCCCTGCGCCCTTGTCGCTGTCGATCTGGAGGGCCCATCCGTGGTGCAGGGGGGTGTCTGGTGGGAGGGTTGGCAGCGTCACCTCGAGCAGGTTGATGGGTGTCCCGTCGCGAGAGAAGGACGACAGCCGGTGGGTCACGCTGCCCGAGTGACCCAGGAGGCTCACGCTTGACACATCCATGCCAACCTGACGCGACACAGACACAGACAGACAGACACGGACATACACGACACGTGTTCCCATATCGCTCTTTGTCGCTCACGCACTTGTGGGGGTGCCTGCAATCGCAGCACTGGCGGCACATCAGTGGGCCATGCGAAGAAGATGGCATAGATGCGCGTCGGGAGGTCGCTCTTGGGCACCTGCGGAGGGGCCATGGGGGACGGCGGGCTGCTGCTGCTGGGGGTGGGTGTGGGGGGGCTGGACTGCTGCTGCTGCTGCGGCAGCGGCGGCTGCTGATGGGGTAGTGGGCATTTCGTGCGTGATGTGTAGAAGACGTCTGTCGTGAAGTTGTCCGTCTGGATCAGCCAGGGGTAGGTGCCGTAGATGGCCTCGCCGTTGAGACTCTGCACACACGCAAGAGGGAGGCACATCGACGTGCCCGCGCCTGTCTGTCTGTCTGTGTGGGTGTGCGCGTATGTTGTGTGGCTCACTCACGAGCCAGTGTCCCATCTCGAGCAGCCGTTGCTGAAAGTAGAAGTCGATTCGGCCGTCGGCTGTTGGGCCGATGTTGAGCAGCAGGTTGCCGCCATACGCCACGGTCGACGCCAGCTTGTAGATCAACTCTGGTCGGTCGACAGATACACAACAAACAGACATGCAGTGGGAGGGAGGGGATTGGGTGATGATGCAGAGTGCGCCAGGTTCCATCCACCGAACCACATGCACTAATGTGTGTCGACACACCCTGTCTGTTGACTTGCCTTTAGTAGTGAGGAGGTCTTCCATTTTCGCTTCTCGTCTGTACCCCCAGCTGTTCTTGTCGAGCGTCATCGCATTCTCCCCTGCAGCGCAGCAGAGACCAATCCACCCACCCCACACATCCCTCCAGTGATGGGATGGCTGTGTCACGTCACGTGCCAGCCAGTGTCACTCACGTACATTTGTGGTCGATGACGTGTCCGGGGTGGAACTTGTCGCTGCCCGTGTAGAAGCCGCCATGCCGATTGGTGGTGTCCGACGACCACCTGACCATGTCAGCACACAACACACACACAGATGGATGGATGGATGGATGGATGTGGAGTGAGGCGTGAATCGCCGGTTTGTTTGGTGGATGTGGTTCTTCATTCACCTGTCATTGATGACGACCTCTTCCCGGACGGGCGACTCATTGTACAGCCACGCCACGAACTCACAGTTGCCCCAATACTCCTCAGGCGCCTCCCACTGACCGTCGCCCCACACTATGTGCGGCCTGAACAAACCAACCAACCAACCAACCACCACACTCAACTGCACAGGTACTGCCCCCGCGCGTCGGCATGTGCAGACGCACCTACCTGTATCTCTTGACCAGGTCATAGAGCTGTGGGTGACTGACGTCCCGTGGGTAGTCGCGTGTGGCCTTGAAGGCCCCTGCCTTGTCGCCCATGTAGAGGGGATTGAACCACTCGAGATGCGAGAAGTACAGACCGAAACGAAGACTCGTTCTGAGGGCACACAACACAGCGCACATCGACGCCATGGATGGATGCCCTGCTGGTATTGTGGTGGTGTGTGCGTGTGTGTGTGTGTGTACCTATTGCGCACTGCGTTCATCAGGTCTTTGACGAGATCCCGATGCGGCCCGACGTCGACCGAGTTCCAGTTCCACGACTGAGCTGAGGGCCACAGCGTATAGCCTGGAGGAAAACCATCGCTCGTTATAGCTGCGTGTGTCTGTCTGTCTGTCTGTGTTGTGTGTCTCTATTCATTCACCTTCGTGGTGTTTGCTGGTCAGCACGACATACCTCGCCCCGCTCTTGGCCAAAAGGTCCGCCCAGCCATTGGCATCGAAGAACTCGGCACGGAACTGAGGCGCAAACTCGGCGTAGGTAAACCCTGCACACACAGAGAGAAAGGCATGATCAATGGGGGAACGGGTAAGGGAGTGATATGTGTGTGCTGCTCGGTCGGTCGGACCTGGCGGATAGTTCTTGGCCATGAAGTCTTTGACGGCCTCGTTGTTCTCGACCTTCCATCTGTGCCAGAACCACTCGGAGACGAATGCTGGCACGCTGAAGACACCCTGCATATGTGATTGATGCAGACATCGATTGACACACGAGTCGCTGCTGCGTCCGTATCGTATGTGCAGATAGATCAGATTCTCGTTCACTCACTCCCCCACCCAGTGGATGAAGATGCCAAACTAGACCCACGCAGGCAGATAGAAACAGAAACAGGGCAGCACGGTCTGACTGAACCTTCGACACTTCTTGCTCTGCTCTGCTTGCTCACCTTAGCTTCATCATACCTGCACAAACACACACACACACACACAAAGCACCAACAGTCAATCTGTCCCTGTGGCTGGCTGCCTGTCTGTCTGTCTGTCCGTCAGCTGTGCAGCGTTGTGGTGTGTTGTGTAGTGCTGACTGACTGACCACTGTGGGGGAGGTCGTTTGTCGAGGCTTTCCCAGCTTGGCTGGTAGCTGTAAGTCAGGTTCATGCTGGCGCTCGGGCTCATCCGCGACTCCATTTCGGCATCGTCACCGCCCGTCACGCCGCCTGGGGGATTGGCAGCCGTCGGGCCATGACCACTGGCGGCATTGCTGATAGATGGACAGCATGGGACGGACAGCAAAGTCACAGACAGAGAAAGCAATGACACAAGCAACAGGCTGCATGAGGGCAGCGGGTGAGGCAAGGCAAGGCAAGGAAGGCAAGGCAAGGAAGGCAAGCAATAGCGGGGCTGCATGCCAAAGTGTCCGTGTGTGTGCGTGTGTGCGTGTGTGTGTATCGGTGCTCACCCGTTCATGGCCACTGCGTGTAGGTGGATGAATGTGGCCTCCGCCCGCAGCGCCTCCCAGATGAGTGAAGCAACACCCACTCAACCAATCAATGGGTTGGAGCAGCTTCTTTCGTCAAAACCATCCCTGCTCTCGGGCTTAGCTCGCAGGTCCCTGCGAGCTTAGCGCCGGGTTCAAAAAAAGAGGCGCAAAAGAAGAAGCATCTGAAGCATGGAGAAGCAGCATGAGAAGCAGGTTTGGCCGAAAGCAGTCATGCAGCATTAGATCTCTCCAGGTCAGGTCAGCGAAGCAACGTGACGACTCCCACGCAGATCTGTGTCGACTACAGTACTGCTGTGGGCAAGACACTCGCCATCCCATCAAGGTAACAAAGGACAAGACGACACACTCTGCTTAACTGTCTTCAAGTGCTTCGTTTTGTCTTGCTGTCTTCACTCAAACAACAGACAGGCGTGAAACATCATGATGTCCTCCCCATCCCACTCAGCGGCCACCGACGGCCTTCACGAGTATGACGAGCTCCTTGCCCGCATTCTCAGAGCGGAGCAGCGACCTCCCGCTGCGTCGACCACCACCTGCACCCCGACAGAATGGCCCACGCAGGTCGTCAAGCGGTCCAAGGAGCTAGAGGGCTTCGACTTGCGCAAGATCCTGCGTCGTGTGGAGCGTGTGCTGCCCGGCCTGAAGAGCGACGTGGCGCGGATCGCCATGGGGGGAACGGGCAGGCGGAACGGCCTCGGCGCGCGGCGGGAGGAGGAGAGGGACGAGCTGCTCGTCACACTGGGCGCCAAGATCGTCAAAGGGCTCACAGAGAATGTACATCACCTGACGACGGGAAGCACATGGCGTGATGCGGGCGTGTGTGTGTGTGTGTGTGTGTGTGTGTCAGATATCGACGCAGAGCATTGACGAGTTCATAGTTGAGACGATAGCGTTCCACCAGGCTGACCACCCCGACTTCGCGAGGCTGGCCGGACGTCTGTGCGCGACGCAGCTGTGGAAAGGCACCTGCGACACCTTCAGCGCAGCCATGGAGGCCCTCTACACATACGTCGACGACCACGGCCGGGACTGCAGCCTCATTGCCGAGGTACCTACCCTACTGGCCTGCCTCCACACACACATAGACAGACACTCACACAGGTCGCTGGGCTGGCACCACCTGTCTGTCTGTCGGCATGGCATGTATGTGATGTGGCTGTTGGTGTGGTGTACAGGACACCTATCGGTTTGTCAGGGAACACAAGGATGAGCTGGACAAGGCCATCAGGAACGAACGAGACCTTGACTTCGACTACTTCGGGTAAGTAACTAAGTGTCGAGTCGACAACAGCACACCACCGCACCACGCTCCCTCTTGTCGCACCGCACTCTCTGTTGTGTGTGTATGTGTGTGTGTGTGTGTGTCTTCAGGTTTTGCACGCTGAAGAAGTCGTATCTGCTGCGCATCAAAGGACGGCAGGCGGAGCGACCGCAATACCTGTTCATGGTGGGTGCGGTGCGGCAGTCTTGGACCGGCTGAACTCGGGAGTCTGGATTGGTGTGGTGTGGTGTGTGATATTGTGTGGTGTGTGTTGTGTGTTCAGCGCGTTGCGTGCGGCATCTTCGCCCCCGACATGGCCAAGGTCATCAAGACATACGACCTGCTCAGCAGGAAGGACTACATACACGCCACACCCACACTCTTCTACGCAGGTACGGTACGCAGCAGCCGGCCCGCTGACACACACCAACATGCAGCTAGCATTACTGAGGTGAGGTGCGGTGTGGTGGTGTGGTGTGATTTAGGCACCAAGAAGGCCCAGATGGCGAGTTGCTACCTCATGCAGATCGCAGCCGACAGCATCCCCGGCATATTCGAAACCGTCACACGAGCTGCCAACATCTCGGCCGGAGGCGGAGGTCAGGCAGACCAGCACACACACACACACACACACAGAGAGAGAGAGAGAGAGGACGAAGACACATCCATCCATCCATCTCTGTTTGCGTGTGTGAATCCCCCGCCCCCCAACCGACCCCCCCAGGCATAGGTGTTGCAGTGCACGTCGTGCGTGCGGAGGGAGCGTACATCCGGAGCAGCAACGGCCGGTCCAACGGCATCGTGCCCATGCTGCGGGTCTTCAACGCCACATCGCGATACGTGGACCAGGGCGGCGGCAAGCGCAAGGGCGCATTCGCCATCTACATCGAGCCATGGCACGCTGACATTCTCGCATTCCTCGTACACACACACACACACACATACATACGGACGGCAAGCACATCACATCGATGGAGGGAGCCCGATGTGACGCTCTCTCTCTCTCTGTGTGTCTGTGTCTGCGTGTAGGACATCCGCAAGAACCACGGCAAGGAGGAGCACCGTGCCCGCGACCTCTTTTGCGGCCTGTGGGTGCCCGACCTGTTCATGCGGCGCGTCGAGAGGGACGAGGAGTGGACACTCATGTGCCCCGACACATGCAGAGGCCTCAACACCAAATACGGTCAGTCAGCCAGCCCACACAGGCCCGTGACATCCATCCATCCATCCATCCCCCCCTCCTTGGTGCGGTGCGTGTGTGCATCTCACTTACAGGTCGAGCATTCGACGAGCTCTACGAGCGGTATGAGCGCGAGGGCATGGGTCGGAGGACGCTGCGGGCCCGCGACCTCTGGCGGCACATAGTGCACGTGCAGATCGAGACGGGCACGCCTTATATGCTCTACAAAGACGCATGCAACTTCAAGAGCAACCAGAAACACCTCGGTGAGTGAGCCCAGCCCTTAGCAGAGAGGGAGGGACACACACACACATATATATCATACCATCAGGCGAGGCGAGTGATGCATACCGTACCGTCTGTGTGCGTGTGCGTTTGTGTGTGTGTTTGGTGATGGGATGGTCCTGCAGGCACCATCCAGTCGAGCAACCTGTGCACAGAGATCCTCGAGTACACGGCGCCCGACGAGGTGGCCGTGTGCAACCTGGCGTCCATATCCCTCCCCCAGTTCATCAAGGAGACACACGCCACCGAGCAGCCACCGCCCCCAGCCGGCAAGCACACAAATACACTGCAGACAGACACACGACACGACACCTAACGTGTGCATCACTCTGTGTGGACGAATGGGCCGTCTTGTCTTGCGTGCCTGCCTGCCGCTGTCTTGATCTGTCCATCCATCAGAAGTGTGTTTGGTGGATGAGGTGGTGGACGAGGACATGAACGAGTCGCCCAGCTACTACAGGCGGTGCCGATCGCCACTCATACCCACCGTCCAGGACGACGGGAGGGCGGCCCACCCGGCCCTCTCACCCACCTCTCCCAGCAAGCGCACACACGACAGTCGCTTGGCGGGCGGCGGCCTCGGGCAGTTCGGTGAAGCTGGACTTGCTGAGAGTGGACCAAAGGTAGGTGCCGAGAGTGATATGGGCGTCTGTCTGTGCGTCAGGCGTCCTCCATGAGTGTGTCGTGTGTCGTGTCTGCAGAGGCTGAAGAGTGGCGGCGATGACGCTGCGGGGTCGTCTGTGTGCGAGGGTCCGATGCTGCATCGCTCCAGCCACGAGCCTCCGCCCATCACCAAGAGCGGCCAGGCCGTGTTGGACAAATTCGACTTCACTCGGCTGAGAGGTGACCACTCCACACACACACGCGCGCACATGGATCATCCCTCCCTGTCTCCCTGTCTGTCATCCTCACACAGATGTTGTGTGCCACATGGTTCGCGCCTTGAACCAAGTGATCGACCGCAACGCCTACCCCATTGCCGAGGCCGAGAAGTCCAACCTGCGGCACCGGCCGATCGGCATCGGCGTGCAGGGCCTGGCCGACGTCATGGCCATGCTGGGACTCGACTACGAGGGCGAGGAGGCGCGCCTCCTCAACTTTAAAATCTTCGAACACATTCACTATGCTGGTCAGTCAGTGGGCCGCGTGGGTGATGATATGATGGACGGGACGGTGAAGGGCCATGGCTGCATTTCATTTGTGTGGTGTGGTGTGGTGTGGTGTGGTGTCGTGTGTGGTGTCAGCATTGAGTGCGTCGTGTGATCTGGCTGCACGCGACGGTCCCTACGAGACCTTCAAGGGCAGCCCCGCCAGTGAGGTAGGTAACACACACACACACATACACACATACACACATACACAATACACAATACACACCAGCAACGAGCAGCAACAGACCACTCCACTACCCTTCTCCCTTGGTTTCCAACAGGGCAAGCTGCAGATGGACCTGTGGGCCGAGTATGCAGCGGACTTCGCCCAGCGCAACCCCCTGCCCCCCTCTCCCGTGCCCTCCCCACACGCCCCCCTGATGGGCCCCCCCTTCCCCTTCGACCCCCACCTCGACTGGGCAGGGCTGCGTCGTCGGATCGTGAAGAAGGGGCTGCGGAACTCCCTGCTGACGGCCCCCATGCCCACTGCGTCCACTGCGCAGATACTGGGCAACAATGAAAGTGAGAGAGACCGTCGTGCGACAGTCACACAACACAGAGGGAGGGAGGGAGGGAGGGATGCCGATCAACGGGCCTGTCCGTGGCTGTACGACTATCTATGTGTGTGTGTGTGTGTGTGGTCAGGTTTCGAGCCGTTTACGTCGAATTTGTACCGTCGGTCGGTGCTGGCAGGAGAGTTTGTTATAATCAACCCTCACCTCGTCAGACATCTCATTCAAAAGGTGCCTGCGCACACGTGGCGTGGCAGGGACAAGAACGATATCCGACAGAAAGCTCGGACCGTCTTGTTGTGTGCATTTGTGTGTAGGGCGAGTGGCCGTTGGCTACGGAGGACCGCGACATGCTGATAGCCCGCGGCGGGTCGGTGTCGAGCCTGTCGCTGCCTGGCGACACGCACAACGTCTACAAGACCGTGTGGGAAATGAGCCAACGCACACTCATCAACATGGCCGCAGGTCAGGTCAACGGGGGGAGGCAGGCATTCCATTCTTGCCCTGCCCACACATAGCATACACGCAAGCAGGCAGAGAGAGAGAGAGAGAGAGACATTGAAGCGGATTGTGTGTGTTGAGTGTGTATCAGATCGGGGTTGGTTTGTGGATCAGAGTCAGTCGATGAATCTGTTCCTCAAGACCCCCTCCTACGCCCAGGTCACATCAATGCACTTCTACGCCTGGCGGAAGCAACTCAAGACAGGTGGGCACGGTGGGCAGGGCAAGCGTGGACACCCCGTCCACCACATGCATCCCAACCGCCATGCCATCCATGTGTGTCTCCTCTCCATGGGTGCGTGGCCTGCTGCAGGTATGTACTACCTGCGGTCTCAGCCCTCCCGCACTGCCCAGAAGGTAACGGTGCCGCCGCAGATCACACGCCACGTGTCCAACGAGGAGTCGGCAAAGTTCCACGCCCAGCCCAAACACCTCACCCTCACACACCCCTCGCCAGGCAGGCCGCCCATCCCCTCGGCTCACTCCGACAGCCACCTGCCGCTCATGAGTGGCATGATGAACGGCACCCACGGCCATGAGCAGGGGCAAGACGGGTCCGGGTCGAGCAGCAGTGGGAGTGTCGGTGCGGCGTGCTACAGGCGGCGGCAGCGTGCGAGCGAGTCGGACAACACCCCCAGCTGTGACATGTGTGGCGCATGAGTGTGTGTGTCTGGCGTCCATAAGGCGTGTGTGTCAGTGAGAGCTCGTGTGTGTGTGTGTGTGGTTTGAGCGAGTGAGTGACTTTAGATGGAGTGGCATACCATATGGCATACGGACGTCGAGAGCATTGCGTTGCGTGTAGGACATTATGCAATGACTGTGTCTTTGTGTATACGGGCGAGAGGAGAGCATATTTGTTCATCTCATCGTCTATATATCGGAGGGGAAGAGAGCCGGCTGTTGTCGGATGGTATGGTTGCGTGTCAGCCGATCGGCTCCAATGGAGCAGTGGCATGGCAACGATGGATGGATGGATGCCCTTAATTGCTGGGATTGCATGTGATATTTATTGATTTGGCTGTCATGGTAGACACACAAGTGTGCTCTCCTCTCTCCTTCAGTGTACACCTTTCTCTGCACGAGTGCATGGCCATGGCCGGTGAGACTTCTCGAGCCCTTCCCTGAGGAGCGATCCTTTCTTACACAACAGATGTTCCTCCCTCTTGCTGCATGGCGGTTACGAGCATTCCGTTTCAAATAAGCCACGGAGGGGTAGAGAGGTGTCCGTCCCGTCCCACGCACACACAGTCTGATCATCATCCGATCAGCGGCCACGCACTCGCGTGCGCATCGCATCCACCATGAACACACACGAACATTAAAGACCGACGGCCTCACACACACAGACACCGACCCACCCACACACCCTCCCACCCACGCGCACACAACTAGAACACATATATAAATAAAGTATGAGGCCTCTCACACACAGACAGACAGACAGAGACACCCGGCCGCAGACACGACAACCAGACTAAAAGGACCACACGACACCACACCGCACGACGACACTTCACTGCATGGCTCCTTGCCACCGACTCACATGCAACCAATCATCACTCGCTAAGGCAGGCAGGCAGGCAGACCGGCACTCAGCCCGCCTGCACCTGTCGGTAGCATTTCGACAAGTACAGGCCGGCTGGCTGGCCGCCCCGCCTGGCAAAACCTTTCTGTCCGACTCATCATCTTTTCTCGCATATCAGGCACAATCAGGGCCGGCACCAGCTTTCGCAAAAAAAGTGCCACGTGGCTTGACAGACAGACACTCAGACAGACAGACAGACAGACGGACACACCTACATGGAATTAAAGCTGCACCTACGCGGACTGACTCGCATGAACCGCATACATCTCTCCCGATCGATCTCTTTCGCACACAAACACCAACCAACGCGGACACCCACCATCTTGAAAAAGTAAGTGTCCCGATTGGATGATATGAATGAAGAGGTAGACAGACAGTGACAGTACCCACCAGACAGACAGGCAGACAGGCAGACAGACAAAGACTGGAAGGAGGCGAAACCAGAGACACGCGAGACAGATGAGAGGCAAAGAGAGAGAGGTCTAGGCCAAGACCAACCAGCCGAGAACCAGCAGCGCCAGCCCGCCCCACACTCTGCCCCCCAGCCCGACACTCCCAGACACGGTCTCCCCCTCACCGTCATCACCATCGCCACCGTCATCCACGAGCGGCGCCTCCGCCCGTGCCACAGCGAATGTGTACTGCCTCTCCTTGTGCCTGAGCGTCTCCCGCTTCTCGCCCAGCTGCACACCGGCATATCTGCCGAGCATCATGATAGTGGCCATGGGGTTGACGCGCGTCACGGCGGGGATGACCGATGCGTCCACCACGTGCACGTTGGACGTGCCGGTGAGGAGGAAGTCGTCTCCCTCGATGAGGGTGCCCATCGAGACCGTCCCGCAGTAATGCCATATTGAGATGTACAGCGGGTCGGCCACCGACAGGAAGATTTCTTCGAGGGTCTCGGGCGAGTCGTCGGTGTCCAGCATGGAGGCGTTGATGCCGCGGGGGAACAGCTGCAGATCCGCATCGGCCGGTGCGTACTTGGACGGGGGGAAGATCAGCCCCTGGGGAGGTTTCAAAGATCGAGAGCACACCATCCATGAGGCACATGGCTGCCAAGTGGGCTGGGTGGTGTGGTGTGCGTACCATGGCGGATGAGATGAGTCCCGAGGTGAGGAGGTCTGAGGCGAAGCATGACTCCTCCCCGTTGGCAGTGATGTTGCGCATGTCATCAGACACCAAGAGCTTGACGATCTCTGCAGGAACCGAACCACGTACACACCATATGCTTAGTACTCCAGTCATCACGTGAATTGAATGGCTGTCTATGTACCTACCTTTGATTGAGAGCGCGGCGGCCTGTCTGTCCATCGGGTGGTCGAAGTACTTGGGGTCCACCACCACCGACCCATTCGCAGCCAGCGACACACTCCCGCGGGACAGCGGGTCCGTCACCCACGACAGCAACGAGCCCCCCTGACGCGTGCAGTCGGCCATTTCGGCCTGCTGGTCATTACATATGGGCGGCGCCTCCGCCTCAGCTGCGTCGGTGTCGGGGTCGACTTCCTCCTCCTTGAGTGCGATGTCGAAGTCGTGTGCGCACTCCCAGAAGCCCTTGAGCAAGCTGAAGGCGGAGCGAGTGACCTTGCCCTGAGCCGCACCCTTGGCGGCCGTCAAGGCCATGCCCGTCGTTATGCCGTAACCCTGAGACAGCTCATCCTGTGCAACACACAGACAGGGAAAAGACGAAAAGGAGGGAGATCATGGTGAAAACATTCTCTGTCTGTCTGTCTGTCTGTCTGTGTGCTTACGATGAGTATGAAGTGGCACTCTTCGTTGGGCGAGGGGTTCTCGGCGTCGCATTTCGGCCCGGCGTAGCGAGTGGCCATGATAGACTGAATCGTCACGGGACCAGGGGCCTTCAGACCCACACCGATGGGCGTCTGCACCAACCACACACACACACACACACACACACATGGACAATTCACACATGCGACGGAGAGAGCGTGTCTTGGTAGGTGGCGTACCTGAGGGTGGTCGTGCAGGTCTTTGCCGACGTTGGGCATGTCCTTGACCACATCGATGCCGGCCGCCTCGAGCATCTCCTTGGGGCCCAGCCCTGACCGCATGAGGATCGCCGGCGTGTGGATGGCACCCGCAGACAGGATGATGCGCCCGCCATCCCTGACGCACACGCGACGCCTCGACCGCTCAGTGCCCTCGGTGTCGCTCAGCTTGTCGTACACCACACACGTGGCTGTCAGCTTGGCGCCGTCGGCCGACTCCTCGTCGAACTCGAGATGCTGCACCTCTGAGAGCACCTGAAGGGTGACGTTTGACCCCTCGAGCAGCTCGTCAGCGGCGTGACGTTTGTCAGTCTCGGCGTCGAAGATGGAGTAGGTGCGCCATACCATGGCGTTGTCATAGCCCACTTGGGGTGTGCCCTCGTCGCCGGCCCACTCGTAGCCTTCGGCCTCGAGGGATGCGCGGAGGGCGGTGTTCCACTGGCCGTCCTGCGAGGATGGCTTGACGACGCCCGAGCCGAGCAGCCAGGCGAAGCTCTCGTCGATGAGGGTGCGGTTGAGCGTGACGCCGTAGTTCCTCTCTAGGTCGTCGAAGTAGCCGGTGCCCTCCTCGATGTACACGCCGGCATTGACGGCCGTGCCGCCCCCCGTGACCCGCCCGATGTGACCGACAACGCCCTGGACGGTCTCGAACTGCTCAGATATGACGGGGTTGAGCATCGCCGTCTGCCCGCCCCTCTTGGTTAAGGCTTCTGGGAACTTCTGACGGTCATCACCGCGCTCCAGCAGCAGCACCTCCTCGCCGTAATCGGCCAGAGTGCGGGCCAGGGGACAGCCGGCAGCACCCGCGCCCACAACGATCGTGTCATACACCTTCTCGTCAGTCTCGAGCGACGATGACACACCTGAAGCCCCCATGCCATGCAGCCAGAGGGTGCTCCCAACAGCAGCGCTCTGTGTGCGCAGCATACCATTGGTTGTGTTCTGTGCAGAGGAGGGTGAGAGGATCAAACTCAGCAGCAAAATAGAGACGGCTGCTCGCATCATCCTGTTGGCTGGGGGGAGTGGCTGGTAGGAGTCGCTGGAAAGAGGCTGTTGCGATGGGAAGGAGGGGAAGACGCGATGCTGCAGGGTGCGATTGCGATTGAGTGTGGCTGAGTCAGCGTGTGAGTGAAGGATGATCGCTGAGGGCCGGATCCGAGAGGGGCGGATCCGAGAGGAGAGGTGAGATGGGTCCACGGGCGGTGCGATGAGAGATCTATGTCTACACCTGCTTCAGGAAACCTCACCGACCACAGAAGGCCCAGATCTGCAGCCACGGTGCTCTTGGGGGGATCCGCGGGTGCGAGCTTGGATATGACGAGCAGCAACGAATTCGAGCAGTGAGGTATGGCGCATCACACCACTCACCGACGAACGAAATACAGCCGTACACATTGAATGCATTTGTTGTAATTCATGTCTGTGGTGTGCAGCCATTGGTGTTGGCGATGAGTGAGTCGGCATCGAAGCGACAGAGGCGGGCGGCAGACGGAGAGGAGGATGACTCGGAGAACGGACACCAGGAGGCCGAGATGGACACCGACAGCCAACAGCAGCACAGCAGCAGGAGGAGGAGGAGGAGGAGGAGGAGGTCACACACAGCATAGATCTGGAGGCCTTTGCACAGCGATTCAGCCAAATCGTAAGCTGAGATGCACCAAACGAACCACTGGCAGACACACACATCCTCATTTTCTGCCCTCTCTCTGTGTCTGTGTGGTGTGTGTTGTCCGCTCAGCCCGTTGTCGTTGCCTATGTCTTTTCGTTCGTGTCGCTTCATTTGGTGGCGGCGCTGCCCCAGCGGCTGTGGCGCCACGTCGGCTGCCAGATCACCCAGCTGGTCACGGACACCCACGACACGGCCGAGCGGCGCTTCTGGTGCGGCCTCTCATTCAGTGACGCCTTCGAGTGGGGCCGGCGGCTCACACGGCTCAAGTCCATTGTCGTCAAGTACCCACCAAGTCTCGTCGTTCGACATCATCACGGCTTTTCTTGTGACTACCACTCTCTGTCGCTGCTGATCAGCAACAAGATCGTCACGGCATTGGTGGAGGGCCACAGTGAGGGCCGGAGAGCCGCAGCGGCCACAGCAACCGGGCGGCAGGCGCCAACCACCTTGGAGTCCATCGACATAAGTGAGGGCGGATCGGACATCATCGTCGAGGAGGCCGAGGGCCGCGATATCCGAGCTGCGACGGAGCCGTCGGTGGCTCTTCCCCCGCCCCTCGACCCGCCCCCCACCCTCACATCCCTCAGATCCATTATCATCCCGGGACATGAGCTATCCATGACCGGCATCATCCCGGAAGATGAGCTCTCCTGCCCCGGCCGCGGGCGGCACTGGCAGCTGCCGTCACTCGAGACAGTCCAGGTGCGAGAGAGTGCGTATGACGGTGAGGTGTTGGGGGAGCTGGTGGCCACGTCGCGGCGCCTCAAGGAGCTGCACGTGGAATGCCACCCTGACGTCATGGCGGGCTCGCTGAGGCGCATCCCTGTTGCAGCAGCTGCGGGCCAGCCGGGGCTGCTGTCGCGGCTCGAGGACATCGGGACCCTCAGCGTGAGAACTGGCGCTGCGGATCTGGAGGGCCTTCAGGTGTGCGGCGAACCACACAATAAACTCGATCAGAGAGGGAGGGCGAGAGCTTCCTTGTGAGTTGCGTGTGTCTGTGTGTAGGAGATTCTCGTCGACCGTGGCTGCCGCTCCATCAAGAAACTCAGCATCAGGCTCGAGGACTACGACATCGACAGCAGCATCTTCGCTCCCCTCTCGGCCATCGAGACCTTCGCCAGTGCCGTATGTGTGAGCCCTGACATCGTCGACACCAGTGTCTTCGGCACGAGTGACAATGAGGACCCTGTCGACTGCTTCGACCTTGGCCTCCTCTGTGAGGTCCCCACCAACCCCGCCCCCTCATTCTTCGTGCAGAGACACATACAGCAGCTGGCCGCCGCATCAGAGAGAGCCCTCTTCACCATCCTTCCCGACCACCTCACCACCCCTCTCGACACACCCAGCCCCGCTGCCATCGCCCTCGCCGAGTGCCTGACCTTCCCCAAGGCGACGGCCGTGACGGTGAGGGGCCATGGCGGCTTTGCGGCCAACGCCGAGGAGGTCGACCCACTCGTGTTCGACAGCATGCCCGACAGCGCATTCCCCGCCGCATCGTCGCTGTACGTCCACAGCGGCAAGGGGCTCGCAATTGGCCGCAGGCTGGTGAGCAAGATGCCGGTGGTCAAACGCATTGACCTCCGGGTCCCGACAGAGGAGGATGCAGTGGGGGTGCTGCAGGCGGTGGGTGCAGGCAAGTCGTTGGAGTGTTTCAACCCCGGGTGGGTTGATGTAAGTGAGGGGGGGCTGACGTGGGTGGACATGGCCGACCACCTGCCGACCATCAAACGGCTGGATGTCCGTGTGGAGGGTGAGCTGCAAACAACCGCCTCCATTCAGATGGCAGCTAATTGTGTCCTGGATGTGCCCGTCTGTCTGTCTGTCCGTCTGTCTGTCTGTGTCACTGCAGTGCCTCATGATCTGGGTGTTGGCGATGCCGCTGGCGAGTTTGGCATTGCGTGTGTCAAGTCGCTGCTCAAGATCCGAGGCATCAAGGAGCTCAAGTTCGCGCTGTGGCCGCATCATGGAGGTCAGAGCTTCAAGCGGCTGGTGGATGAGCGGACGAATGGCGACACCGTTGAGGGGCTGGAGGGGCGGTTCGACATCGAGTGGGGCTGGCCATATTCCCGACAGCAACTCATTCTCAAACCACTCGACACCTGACGAAAGACGACAGGTGAGGTTCAGCTATCATGTGTCGGCGCGCTTCTCCACTGCGGGTGATGTGTGTTGGGCTGCATTGTTGTCCGTCAGGTCGGCCGGCCCATGTTAGCTGTAGAATGGTGCAGAGAAATAGATGTTGGGAGGCTGAGTGCCACGATGGCGGGATGCTCTCATGGGTGGCCGCTGTGGGGTGGACTAATTAAGCTGCATCGCTCGTGGATGGATGCCTGTGCTGGAGTTGTCCAGATGTGCATATGAGAAACGAAAGCTGAGCAATGTCTTCCTCTTTGTGAGAACGATCATGCCACTAGCTGCGTCGGTCTGTCGGTCTGTCTGTCTGATGTTGCAGATGGATCATTCGTTAAGCACATAAGTACATGCATTTAACGAGGAGACACACCCTGAGCGAACTCTCAGACACATTTTGTCGTTCGCAGGTCAGGGTTTCGAACTGCAGGGTTCAAACCCAGATCTGCAGGGTTCAAACCACCGGTGGGTCGGGCACAGAGGCGGGCTGCGGATGGCTCCAAGGACAATGCACACGGGGAGTCCGTGCCAATTTGGTCCGTGCAGTGCGCACCGAACACAACACGTCCACCAGGGATCATTCACTTGAACGCATGGATCATTCTGTGCAGCCATGGATTCGTCTGGTCGGTAGCTAGTTGACCGTGTTGGTGTTGAGCGATGAGCGATTCGGAGGCGGTGGCGAAGCGGCAGAGGCGGGTCGGTGGAGAGGAGGAGACCAGTAGTGAGGAGGCCATGCCGGACGGCCCGCACCAGCAGCAGCCGGCCACGGCATCGCACGTGCCGCATAGCATAGATTTGGAGGCCTTCGCACAGCGCTTCAGCCACATCGTAAGCTGAGATGCACCAAACGAACCACTGACAAACACACACATCCTCATTGTCTGCTCTCTGTGTGGTGTGTGTTGTCCACTCAGCCTGTTGTCGTCGCCTACGTCTTTTCGTTCGTGTCGCTTCATTTGGTGGCGGCGCTGCCCCAGCGGCTGTGGCGCCACGTCGGCTGCCAGATCACCTTGCTGGTCATGGACACCCACGACACGGCCGAGCGGCGCTTCTGGTGCGGCCTCTCATTCAGTGACGCCTTCGAGTGGGGCCGACGGCTCACACGGCTCATGTCAATCGTCGCGCGATACCCAAGCTTCTTCGCCATCCCAAGAGACGGCCCTGCTATGCGCCGCAAGAGCCCTGAATGTTTGATGCACATACTGAGTTCCGTCGTGCCGATGGTGGTAGAGGGGCATTGCGAGGGCCAGAGGGCCGCGGCAGCGGCAGCGGGGCAGCCGGCCGGCGGCACACTCGAGTCCATCGAGTACAGCGAATTCAACACGGCGATAGCCATCGATGACGACGAGAGTCGGGAGCTCCAGCGCATCCGACGACGGCAGAAGAAAGGATCCCTCCCCCCTCCCCTCGACCCGCCCCCCACCCTCACATCCCTCACATCCATCACGGGCATCCCCGGGGATGAGGAATCGATTCATGGACCTAGGCAGCCAGCATTCCCCGGCCGCCGGCGGAAGTGGCGTCTCCCATCACTGGAGAGGGTCCAGGCAGAGTGGACGGCGACGGCGCTAGGGGGGGAGCTGGGGGACATGGTGGGGGCGTCCCGACGCCTCAAGGAGCTGCAGGTGCATTCCAATCCCGACAGCATGGCCAACACGCTGAGGCGCCTCCCGGTGGCAGAGGCGGGCCAGCCTGGACCGCTGTCACAGCTGGAGGATGTCGGCACGCTCACCTTTGTGG